GCTGAAAATTTTTAGAATCTTAGAATCTGTGGATATGAGTTTGAGTAAATTCCAAAAAAAAAAAAAAAAAAGACAGTACTTTCACTCTTCATGTTCTGATATTTACCCCCCACCCCCAAAACCATCCTTTTTTATGAACATGCATGTAATTTAGAATATTTGTTAAAAGCTGAGTTGCTTGTGTAGTCCACTTGTGTTTATATATTATTCAGTTTGTGTAGTTAACTTCTGGGCAATGTGCTGTTGGTGGAACTAGAGTTCCAACAAGTTAGCTGAACAGATTGCTTTTCCACTGCTATTTTTTCCCCTAAAATTGAAAACATCAGTTTCCTGTCTGTCCTGTGCAAATTCTTGGATGCAATTTTAAACTGATCTTTTACAGAGCTGTTCAGAGTCGTGAACAAGAGCACCCTCTTCCTTCTTGCAAACAACTAGTTTAATACTAAATAATGGAAAATAGTCTATTTATAGTTTCTAATTTGGAAAATTAGTGTTTCCAAATTTGTTTAATGATAGTAAGATGCCTGCTAAGATGGAAAGATTCCTAGCAAATGATCGGATATTCTGGAATTGAGTCACATTTAGTCAGAAAAGCAGTTTTAATATATCTGATTCATTAAATATGAGATGTTCATCATGGAATTGATACATATTTTATAAGAGTAATTTTATAAGTTTGACCATGAGTTGAATTATTTGAAAGTGTATTGCAACCATGATTTTGGCCAGTACCACTTTTTTCAGTAGAAGGGGTGCAGAATTTTAAAAAATGCCACTTTTTTAAAAACCTAATAGTTTAAAGATAAAAACTGGTGCTTTGAGTCTGTTCAGGGATAGATCAAAAGTCAGTTCATTTCCAAAATAAATGTTTCAGGTAGTGGTATCACTGGCTGATATTCTAACCATCAGTTGTATGTATCAGTTTTATTTCTTAGTATGTATGAATTATTTATCTGTATATATAATTATTACTTTTATTTAATGTGTAAAGCAAATAATTCAAAACAAAAATAGAAAACCACCACTAGAAAGAGCAGAAGAGACGTTGTTTGGGAAGAAGTCAGCATTAAAGCTGTTTACTAAATCCTTGTTCCTTTGTCTTTCAGAGCCATGGTGTCATGGAAAGGGATTTATTTTGTACTTGCACTGTTCTTGGCAAGTTTTTTTGGAAGCATCTTCATGCTTGGTCCCCTGTTGCCACTGATGTCTATTTCCCCAGCTTGGTATCGCTGGATTACTGATCGTGTTGTGGCCACTTGGCTTACACTTCCAGTGGTAAGTTGCTTATGTGTGTATCTTATAACCCCCTCCTCACCCCACTCCCATGTTCCAAAACAATATATTACTTGTGTCATGTCAGATAATATGCTTTAAAAGTCAGTGTAAAATGTTTAGACAAGGATTGTATAATGGCTTGAGCTTGGTGGGTTAATGGCAACTATGCTAGATGTTATTTGTTTGTTAGTTTGTCAAATTTATATAGCCACCCATCTCACAAAACAAGTGACTCTGGGCAGCGTACAACAAAGCTAAAACAGTTAATACATGCCTAAAACAATTATCATTATTATTATTAGAAAAAATTAAAAACTATAAAAACAAAGCTAAGAAGAAGTGGTGGGTGAAGGGATGTTAATAATAACAGAGCCACCTCACTAGTTCACCAGTCCCCTGGGGTCCCTAGGCCTGATGGCACAACCAGGTCTTGAAGGACCTTTGGAAGGTCAAAAGTGATGGAGGAAGCCTCACCTCAAGGGGGAGGATATTCCACAGTGTGGGTGCCATAGAAGAAAAGGCCCACTGCTTAGAGCCTGCCAAATGTAGCTCCCTAGATGATGGAACCCTTAGCATGCCTACTCTGCTGGATCTAGTGGGACTGGCAGATGTAATCGCGGAGAGGCAGTCCCTCAGTTAACTCGGTCCCATGCCATGTAGTACTTTAAAGGTCAAAACCAGCATCTTAAATTGGACCTGGAAACAAACTGGTAACCAGTGCAGCTCGTAGTTTCTCTACCAGAAACACACATAACTGCCTACGCTGCTGCATTTTGCACCAGCTAAAGTTTCTGGATACTCTTCAAGGGCAGCCCTACGTAGAGCACATTACAAATAGTGCAACTGGGAAGAGACTAGGGCATGAGTGACCCTTGATTTAGGAATGGGCACAACTGGTGCAGAATACAAAGTTGTGCAAAGGCCCTCCTAGCCACAGCTTCCACCTGCTCATTGAACAGGAGTCGTGAGTCCAGGAAGACCCCAGATTGCATACAGGGTCTGTTTGGGGCAGTGCAGCCCCATCCAGCACTAAAGATGGCATAGTCCTAGAACTGGAGGGCCCCAAAACCCAAAGCCACTCAGTCTTGCCAGAGTTCAGTTGAAGCCTGTTGTTCCCCATCCAGACCCTCACAGTCTCCAGACACCGGGATGAAACATCCACAGCATTGCTTAATTTGCCAGGAGCAGAGATGTACAAATGGATATCATCAACATACTGATGATACCCTGCCCCATGGTGATAGATGAGCTTACCCAGCAGTCTCATGTAGATGTTAAATAGGAGAGGAGAGAGCACCCACCCCTGTGGCACGCCACACAGTATGGGCCAAGGGTGGGATTTCTTCTCCCCAATCACCACTGACTGGAATTTACCCTGGAGAAAAGAGGTGAACCAGCACAACACTGTGCCACCCACCCCCGATCCTCCGAGTTGATCCAGAAGGATACCATGGTCTCTGGTATTGAAAGTTGCCAAGAGGTCAAGTAAGGCAAGGAGGGATGCATAACCTAGATATACCTTTTGCTAAGAAAACTATAGATAAATGTTTTAAGAAGGCTAAAGGATGTTGGAGAAAATGATTTATTCTTAGCCCTTCCTCCAGTTTGCTGTTAGTTGGCTTATTCCATAGGGAGGAATGCCCCAGTGGGGGCATGAAGCAGCTTCACCCAGCAGCTTCACGTAGGTGTTAAACAGGAGTGGAGAAAACATTGAGCCCTGAGGGACCCTGCAGAGAGTGCAAGGGCCTTGGGCTGGATCTCTCCTCCACATCAACACTGAGGAGAACCAGCTGCAGAGGAAGGAGGAGAACCATTGTAACACTGTACAGGTAGTCCTTGTTTAGGAACTGCAGTTGGGACCAGCAACTTGGTCATTAAGTGAAGTGGTCACTAAGTGAAAAATCATGTGACTGCAACCGTGCTTACAACATTACACAGGACAATGCATACTTATTGACTGTAATGGTGAGCACATGACTGAGAGAGAGATGCTGCGAAGGTCATAGATGTGGGCATTGGTCACAAGATTACTTCTTCATCACCGTTGTAACTGTGAATGGTTGCTGTCTAAGGCAATCACTAAGTGAGGACTACCTGTATTCCCCACTCCCACCCTCCAGAATCGATCCATAAGGATACTATGATCAATTGTATCAAAAGCCTCTGAAAGATCAAGGAGAGGTAGGATGGATGCACTGTCCCCATCCTGCTCCCACTGGAAGTCATCCACAAGTATGATCAATGCTGTTCTGGTGCCATACCCAGGACTCAAACCAGACTGAAAATAGTGCAGATGATCTTGCTTCTCTCAGGGTTCTCTGAAGCTGTAGCATGAACACCTTCTCAGCAACTTTTCTTAAAAAGAGAAGGTTGGAGACAGGCTGAAAATTGTCCAACCCAGTCCAGAAACAGCTTCTTGAGCCTCCTTAAGTGTTGGCGTAGCCGCTCTCTCTCTCTCAAGAATAAATTCCCCACCCCACAAGACCCAGTAACATATTGTCTCCCAGGAAGCCTTAGCTAACCAGGAGGGTCATAGCTCTAAAACACAAGAGGCCAAGCTAACAGTTCAAAGAACCCTGTCCACTTCATCAGGATTATCAGGAACAAATTCATCCCAGATAACCAGATTAAGGAAGTTTGGTTAGTTGTTGAGGAACTCAGCCAGTGTCAAAGGACTTACTGATATTAGCACTTGAGCTATGCAAAGCTTTGATTCAATCATTCGTTTGAACTGAATGTTGATTCACTGCATCAGATTGGTTCCTTTGAATTATTCAGCACTTCGGTGAACTTTTGCACATGTATTTTCTCACTTTTTATCTAACTGACTATTTGAATTGGTGATTTGTCTACTCCTAAGAAGCAGAATACGAAAGTACTTGCAAAATAAGGAAACATTGCCCATTTCTATTCTGAATGGGTTTGCTGTTTTTAGCAAGGTGTGTAAGATTGCAGCCAATAAGAATGAAGAGGAGGGTTAACTCATTCCTTTAACTGAAAATACCTAGAACTTCCATACTCCCAAGTTGTATTTAAACCTCTTTCCTCAAACTGTATCTGCAGTAACTGTGATTGTGGAAGAGGGGTAAGAAGGAATAATGGCTCTCCTGGCTTTCATTATATTCTAAAAACATTGCCAACAGATGATTTCCAGGACAAAAATCTGTTGCTTTATCAAGCGCCAACTAAGATGGGCAAACTAAAATTCTGGGAGTTTTACGCTGAAAGCTTTTCCTTGGTGAGTCTGAAGAGGAACCCATATACTCCCTTCCCCTACCAGTTGGGGTTCCTGATGAATGTTCAGAGGAACTGAAAAGAGAAGGTATGCAAAAAACCTGGGTGGGGTGGGGGGTAAGTAAGGCCCTCAGGATGTTGCTAAATCACATCTCCCAGTAGTTCCACTCAAACTGGCTAAAGATGAAGAATGCTAAGAGTTGTAATTTAAGTATAATAAATACTTAAATACTGGTTCTTCCCTCCTGCTTCTTCATGTTTGTTGGGACATACATTCCATTGGATTCAGTTATGCTTCCTCCTAAAAAAGTATAATTAGCTTGAGTGTCTTAGCCATTTGCTGCAAAGAAAAATGTGAAAATTAGCTGGAAGAAAGGAAGCACTACTAAATTGGACATTGAAAGAAAAGAGGGCATCACCTTGAATAATTGATACCCAGAAATTTACTAAAATGAGGATCAGGGAAAAGCAACCATTAGAAAAATGGAATACTGGGTACTGTTCTGTTTTGGAATGGAAAATATGATTATATTGGTTTATTATACATTGTCCATAAAGTCCTGAACTCCCTTCATTTTATTTGTGTTTTCTTCTTTTTATGTAATGTATATTGTTTTATTTGAGAAATCTGATAAAGGATAGGTTTTCTGCTGGTATTACTTCAGTGGGCTTCAGTGGTACAGTCTTACTGTCTGTCAGCCCCACCAGGTGGACCAGACCAGGAATCAACTCCACAGGAAGGCTAAAACTACTTTTATTGAGAGTGGCTCTAATACCAGCATCTTGCAAGTCTGATTGTGCTATACCTCCTCCCCTTCTTGTACTCATGTGAACTGGGGAGGTGTCTGTCTAAGACTCTTCCACATTTTTCTGCGTATTGTACTTAAAATATATTTCCCCCTCATTGCTTTGGTAACAGATCTTACCTACCTCCATCAAAGTCATCTTGCTTACTCTGTATCCTGTCAGGTCTCCTCTGTCCAGGATACTTTGCCCTTTTTCCGCTTAGCAAGGTCACTACTTATTGCTAATTCTAATATATTCGTGTAAATAATAGTGAAGATTTTTAAAAATTTACTCAGAAAGTTTTAGTTATACCCCACCCCCAAATCTTGTGTGCTCTTTTTAAATGTTGTCTTGACTGATTTAGCTAATTGGGTGGTCTGTCCTCCATTGTTTTAACCATAACACTTTTGCTATTTTATGTAAAAAAATGCTTGTGAAATCACCCAGGCAGATTTGCCAGTAGAAATGTCTTATGCTAAGCATTCATATTAAGCAGGGTTATACAAGCATAAATCTAATACTAAAGCTTCTAAGGTGAAGGCTTGAGTAAATAAATGTTGGCAAATCAAAGTTTTATATAAATGTAGACTCTTTTCTTTCTAGGTGTAGGATTTATTATCTCCCTGACTGATAATAGCATTTAGAGAGACTCAACAATATGCAACTTTCTGTCATCTTAAAATGGATTCTAAATGTCTGATACTTCAGATGTACATTAGGTGTTTCCAGCTCCATTATATTCGTTCATCTTGCTCTTGCCTAGAAGCTTGCAAAGTATTTTAGTATATGTCCCACCCCACTATGTTGCTAGAGTTCTCACCCTGTGTATTCCTCAATCCAAGACTGAGGAAGTTTGATGTAGGAAGACTATAGAACTCCAAAGTAATAGTTTAGCTAAAATAAGAATTCTGGAAAATTAACCAAAAAAGGCCAGTTTCATCCAAAGACTTGTCACATATTAAATCTCTGTTTTTAATGAGAAACAGTTCTGTGCTTTAAGAATAGGACAGTTTTTGTATTGGCTGATAGTACGAATAGTGAACATATGAGTGTGTTCCATGGAATATATTTCTCTGTTTTGTCAAGTGCTTATTCTGACCATTTCTTCATTTTAAAAACATTCATTGCCTTTCTTTAGAAATAATTTTCTTTTGTAAGAAAGTTATTTCAAAAATTCATATATATTTTTCAGTATTCTCATGATTAAAATGAAAACTGATAATGACTCATTTAAAGAATTCCCATTTTCTTACTGGTAATTTTTTTATTGAATTAGAGTTACAATTATTGGTAAATATTATGATTCATCTCATGTTGTGTAATAAAGTTGCTGAACAAAGTTCAGAGAAACCCTAACATATGCTCTAGTTTTCATTTCTCTATGAATAAATATTGCATATTCTGCTGGTAATAAATAATCATTTTATTTCTTTGATTAATTACAAATGCATATACACATATATACTGGATTTATTTCTTTTTGCAATGGGTGCTATCCATATTTCATCTCTATTCACCAAACCTTGGTTCATAGAACTGGGGGATTTCTTTTTCTCCTAGGAGCCCTTCAAACATCCTCTACCACATACACATACACTGGTTCCAGAAATTTTTGAGGGTCTCCAGAGCAGTGATATGGTTTATGATACATATTTGGACTCCACCCTTCATTTCTTTAGAAATAATCTTGTCTTTCCTTTTTTTTTTCCCTACTAAATTCCTCAGGGAATCTAATTCCTGTTTTTGGTGCTTTCTTATTGTCTGTATATACTTCCTAGGTAAGTTCATTCCCCTAGCCTCCCAAAGCTCAGTATCAACTTTATGTATAGAATTTTATTTTCTCACTCTAATTTTTCATCTGCAAATTCCTTTTATGTATTTCTGTTTGGTTAGGGGCCTTCCTAAGCACGGTATGTACAAGATCAAACTTCTTATTTTTTTTTCCAAACACCCATCATCCAACTCTTCTATATTTTGGATAACATTACCATTTATCCTTGCATTGTTTTTTGTTTAATTCCTCTGTTTCCTCCCCCCTCCCTTTATATTAATCTGTCACTAAATTGTGTAGCTTTTTCTTTTGCAATAAGCAGTTATGAAAGCTCACAAAGCACCCACGATTCCTACTAGATATTTATGCCTAACCTAATGTCAAGAAACCTATCTTACTTAAAGGGAAACTGTGGTCCTGGGTACTCCCTGGATTCTGGTGAAGTATCATCTCCTAGTGGGCACTGGGATACTACCAAGAAAAAAATTGGAGGAGAAAAGTAATAGACAACTTGACATATTGTGGCATTCTGGGTAGTAATTTTTGGAAGGGAAATCAGCTTGGAGCTCAGATGTCATGTATGACATATACTTATGAGATCTTGGGCAAGTTACTTGTTCATGCGCATTTGGACCTTAGCATAAGCTAAGAAGGTTAATAGATAGAATTTTTCCCATCCTTCTTTACACTAGTGGTCCTGAATATTCCATTCCACATTTTTCATGGGAGCTTCCTGCCTTCCAATGAAGCTTTTTGAGATACCTAGTGACTGCAGGGGGCAGGGGAGTGGAATTCTTTCTGTCTGTGAACTTCCTTAGTTTAACTTGTCTTAAAATCTGTACCAGTGTTTTAACAGAGGTCAGCAAAAATGCTTCTAGGAAGTTTAGTGATAAAAGTTTAGTGACAGAACTTTTGAGTGACAAACTTTTTTATCTATCTTCAGCAAATATTCAGCACTATACTATTTTGAAACCCAGCTGTTTCACTAATTGATCATGAGTGAAAGTACTTATATGGGTATGGCTGGGGTACGGAACTGCAAAGTTGAATCAAAGGTACTGGAGGAAAGTATAGTTGGAATGGTTTAATGGGGCAACCTGGAAGCACTACCTTTCACCATATATTATTTATCTAATGAACATGATCCTTTTTGTCACTGATGTATTTTTAATATCTGACAATAGTGGCACACAGTTTTACAATAATTTGTTCTTAACCTTAATCACTAATAAGTTAGGCTTATTATTGGCTGCAGTATGGTGAGTCATCCATTGATGCTTGATGCTTTTTAGGTACTTCCTTTCACACAGGGAACTAAAAGCCTATCACAGAGGTAAGCAACATCTTAGTTGATTGGTTGAGGTATAAAGTTTGCCATTTTGTTTATTCTTCACCTTTCTTAATTCTTACATTTTATAATCCTACATGTCATGATTTGTTTTGATTAGAATGTTTCAGTTTTCCTTTTGGGTTATAAAGTAATAAGAATATCTCACAGATCTGTGGGTGCTTTAATTATATTTTGGGACCAGATTGATTCCTCCAATCTCTTTTCTGTCATTTTATTGTTTGTATATGTGTGTATCACTTTACTTTTCCAACTTTTCTCTAAAGGAACAGGATGATATGCCTGTGATTACCTCATTGTGTCTTCATAACATCTCTGTGGTAAATTAGACAGTTAGGAAGTGATTTGTCCCTGGATGTAAAACTGAATCTCTTCATCTCCAAATACTCTGGACCCTATTCATTTACCAACAGTATCTTAGTCGTTCTTGAATTGGTCTAAAAAGAAGTCAAGATAACATTCAGTATTTAAACCTCATCCTCCACAAAACTAATGAAAAAGTAAATATGCAGAATAGTAACATGATTCCAAAGAACAAAAGATGTAATAAATGCTTTAATAAAAAAATCTCCATAGATGAATAATGTGAGTGGTCTACTATGAGACTTCCCAGCAAGATACTTTAAAAGCCAGCCACTCTAAGTTAAAGGTCCACCACATGCAGTGGCTTACCCATTGCCTGGGAGCCACATGTAGCTGCCAAGCCACTATTTTTCATCACCCCTTATATAACATTATAGAGGAATATGGTGGCAAATGGCCACATCATAGAAACATAACTTCCCATTTCTTTTCAAAGGGAAAGCAAAAGGAAGAAAAAGGTATTTTAAGTCTTTAAATACTTTTAAGAGCCTCTTACTGAAGTCATTGCAGGGTGGTATTACCCAAAGCAGTCCTTGGTCACTGACTGCCCAAATAATGCCTACTAACCCCGTTCTTTATGAATGTGCAGGGCTCTGCCGCGAGTACCAACTCAGTGCAGTGCAAAGAGGTTCATGTGAAAAAGATGTTCACAGATTTCTAAGTATGACTATTTTGAAACAGTATGTCTGTTTTCTGTTTCTTTTACAACATAACTAAAACTTCTTTCAAACCATGTGATTCAATAAGACACTGTTTCAATGTTTAGCAAGTAAGGATTGCCCCACAGTTCTTCAGGATTCTCTTTTATCCTGTGTGGTTGAACAATATGCCAACCCTCAAATTAAGCTAAGTTTCCACTGGATTTTGAAGAAATATTGAAAATTACTGATTTTCTCTTTTAGACTATAACTCCTGCATGTATCAACAACCCTCCAAGTAGATGTTGAAAAATTAACTTCTCCTAAATTTCTATCTAATTGTATACTTATCCTTCGTTTCTTTATAGCATACAGCAAGATTAGGCAACTTGTTTTGGCTAGTGGGCACCTTTAGAATTTTAAGAACATGTGTGGGTGCTCTCACAAAGTGGTTGCCTTGGGAACAAACCCAGTTATAAAACACCCATTTGTCAAAAGCAAATTGGTCCCTGTGTTCTCTGTACCCCAGTTAAACTTTTTTTTTTTTTTTTGCTGGGCTTATTATTTGCTCGATATTCTAAAAATGCTTCTGGAAGTTTCTGGGAGGCCTATATTGTAAGTATTTTTATACCATTCTTATAAAAGAGAAACTTGAAATGATTTACAAAAACTATAAAATCATCCTAAATTAAAGCAAAATATAAAAAGGATAAAAAGAGGATAAAAACAATTCGTTGTATAAACTTTCTTCTAAATTTAGATGAAACTAGAAGAAGCATTTTAAGTAACCATTTGATTATTTTTTAATTAAAGAAAATAAAAATAAAGTCAGATGGAGTTAAGAGACCTGTAGATACTGGGGGAGACATCTGTGGATGCTATATTCCCTATCCCTGTTATATAAAATTCAAGATCAGAAGTGGGTAATGCTTGTTTTACTCGAATGACGCTTGAATTTTAGAATAACAGACACTTTATTCAAATCATTTATCTCCCCTTACATAGACAGAATTTGTGCATAAAAGTTTTGAAGTAAAGAGTATTGTCCAAAGAGACTTCTGATGTATTGGACTCACATACCCATGCAGCTGCTATTATATCCATTTATGCAGTTATAGCATAACTATATGCTTTGTTTTGACCAGTTAGACTCTATGGTAAGATATGGGAGATTTCAAGGAGTCCTATATGAAGAAAGACTATGTATTTGTGGTGCCCCAGCTAT